AGCGTGGGGTGAGGGGGGGTGAGGAGGGTGGGGAGCAGCCCCGGCATGTCGCGATAGCTGCTGGACGTGGGGGCCGTCGCGGTAGCTGCTGTTTGTTGGCTTTACTGGTTCAGAAAAGCAGCCCGCGCCCCTTTGGGTGCTCCTGACCACCGGCAGTGCGCGGTGGAATAGCTCTGGTGCGACTTGCCGAAGGAGACATGGGGATAGCGAATTCGCTGCTGCTGTAACCTAATTTTACATTAACTTTTAATTCAAGCTAATTTAATAGACGTTAACCATTTAGAAGGAGAGAGATCTCTTTTCATTTGACTCAGGAGGAATTAGAAAGTTCTGGGTTAAAGCTATTATAATAATATAAGGAATATTCTAACATATAGTTATATAACAACATATAGTTTTTATACATAAATAATACAAGTGATATGAATATATATTCTATCAATATACATATTATTAGTTTGAAATGTCTACCTATAATACAATTGTAAATAAAATTAACTTAATCCCATACTAACTAAAGGTAAGTGACTAAAGATTCACCAGGTTCACCAAGTAATTGTAGTGTGTTTGATCCTGCTTGGTATTCACAGTTCTGGATGTTAATGAAAGATTCATAAACCCTATGTGGATATTATAGGATTTTCCCCATTTACTTTAATTTGTATGCGAGGCATATGACTCTTGGGTTTGATTCCACCATTAAAAACAAGAAGTAATGTTCATCATAGACAAGAAAAGACGTTACTTCCAGTGGAGCAGGGGAGAAGGAGCAGGTTAAGGGAATTCTCCCCTTTGCTGTACCCTGAGCCCCACTGAAGTGAGCAGATGTTTTCTCTTGAGTTCAGTGGTCAGGCCCCCTGGGAGCAGAAGTTGGCCAAGGTGACTTCAATACCCTCCTTTCCTTCCCTACCTAGGAATGACTGTTTTTAAAGCAGATAATATTATATGAATTAGATGTACATGCCAAAAAAAAAAAAAAAACGATATATTGCAATAAGTTTCTGTAGTGTAATTTTTTCTCCTTGTTTTTTTCCCTTCTCTATTAGTGAGGAGTGAATGTTACCCTTTGATAAACCCCTTCTGGCATGAAAATGCAAACATCACTGATTCACACAGACAGCTTTTGTGTGAGTAACTTTTCTATTACTTCTGTACTTCCATCCACTTTTCCCTCCCTCCTTCGGCACTTACAAGGTCCCATTTCTGATTCAGGGCGGGAGCTCTTTGAGGTAGTGTTTTGACTCTGCTTTTGTACAATATCTGTCACTGCATGTGGTCTTTAAATGGGATTACTGTTGAAATAGCCATCTATTTGATGTCAAGGTCAGCTAATTTCTTCCACAGGAGCAAGATGTTTCTGCCTGGAATGGCTCAGGAAGGTACTCAATTATTAAAAATAAAAGGCAAAAATGTTTAAAATCCCCTCAAAAGAGATTGATTACTGAAAATGCTTAAGCACACATTTAAACTAGTCTTTAAGACAGCTACATATCTACCCTTTCAGTGGGATTCCTCGGACTGGAAAAAACCTTAAGTATGTGGAAATTTAAGAAAATAAATCAAGGACTTAAAGCAGTGTTTAAAGCCTTTGAAGAACATCGTGCTCAAAAAGATTAAATTTCTAACTGCGTTGGTTGGTATTTATTTCTTTTTCTTTAAACTCGTTTGTCAATGTCAGAGTGTTTTCAGAAAGTCCAAACTAAACATTTTCAAATACTTTTAGGCTTCTCCTAAAAGACTATCTAGCGTCTTTGCATCATGTCCTGTACAATGCTTCGCTCACACGTGCTTGTATATGGGCTTGCTTTTTTTAAATTGTTTTTTATTTACTTACCTCTCTGACTCTGGCTGTTTTCCCCTTGCAGATGGAATATATGCATTTATCCTGTGTCTTAAAACGGTACCCTTTCCCTCAAAACCAGCCATTTCCCTGAGCAATCCTTCAGAGAGGCTTAGGGTGTCTTTAGTCTCTTGGAGCATCATCTCATGATGTAGCTAAAAGGGCAGCAAACATGGCAAAGAAAGCCTATGAGGTACTGATGCTAGTGTAGCTGTGTTACAACAGTAACTAGAAATATAAAGTAGGAGTAATCCCAGCGGGCTGCTGAAATGGCTGTACAAACATATTGACAGGTTCAAGACTAACAGCACAGATTGCCTCTCTGTGCTTTCAAATTGAAAGGTGCCTTTTTTTTAATCTTCCTTGCTTAAGACAGAAGGCCTAAGCTGCTTGACGTTGCTGAAAACTGTGAGGGTCAGTGAAAATTATTATTTGCTGCATCACTTAAGCCTTTGAGGTTTCAAAGTTAATTGAACCTAACCAGACTGATCACATTTTAAGTGTGAGCACCTCAACTATTATGTTTGGGATAGTCTAAAATTTTGGGATAAAATTATTAGCATTTCAAAAGTTGTGTTCATATTTGCAAAAAGATACATCTGTAATTTTTCTCAGGTGAGGAAATTTTAGATTACAGCTCTTCAATGAAAGCTGAATTCTGCAAAAACAAAAGCAGAGACTGTACAGAGCTTTTTTTGTTATAAAAATGATGTTGGCTTGGAAACAAAGGACAGCTCTTTGGTAGTCATGCAGTGTAAGAAAATAGTAATATGAGTAAAAATTGGATTCATAACTATGTTTACAGACTCTTAAGAGCCTCAGAGGAAATCTCTCGCTCTCATATCACGTACTATTTTCAGGTTCTTGGACAAAGACTTCAGGTCTGCTAAGACACTTGCAGATTTTATTATAAGCAGGTGTAGTCTGCCTAAAAATGATAAGATATCAATGATACTTTCATTGAAAGAACCTACTAGGTTTGATTAGAATGCCCCGAAGAGTGGACTTTGATATTTTAGATGTTCAACTTCAGTGCAGTTGCGATGTGGTGAGGCAGGGCTACAGACCCACAGCAATAGCAGCTGAACATAGGAAGTGCTATGTCAGTACTTCTTACTTCTAGGAAATATAGATATTTCTAAGTGACATCTAGGTTTGGTAAGTACTGAGATACTACCTTCTACTTCATCTTTACACTTCCTTCTTAAATATTTTCTGGCTGTGGTCACTGAATCATATTTAGGCAGATCAAGGCAAACCTTTGTCTTCATCTTCAACACATTTTAACTAGAATTCTAGAGGACAATTCGGGGATCGTGGTTTCCAGTGTGGGGATCGTGGTTTCCAGTGTAGTTGCAGTAATTTCTTCATGTGCTGCTATACAGGGCAAACAGGCTAGTTGCACAGCTTGAATGAGTTACTTCAAAAAAATCTTTTTTTTTTTCCTGTGTGTGTGCCTGTGCAGGTGTCTATGTGAGGCACACTCACATGAAATTAAACTCTCTGTCTAGCTCTACACCCGTATTTCTCACTGTTTGATTGGCAGACTGAGTTTCAGGAGCTGTGGCAATATCAAACGTGTTTCTTGCCTGCTACTCCTAAAAAGATTTAGAAGGGCTGTCTCCTAATGCAGGCACTTAAGTAACACATTGGGAGCCCCATCACCCATTTTTAGAGTTCCCGTACTCTTCCTGGCATGTCTTAACTAGACACAAGTGCCAAAATGATGTGAGGAAGTCTATACCTGAGTGCAAAGAGCTGGGTCGAAGTGGAAGCAGAAGTGCTGGTCACTGCCAGAAGACAAACCCTTCCTTAGTGAATGAAAAGCCTTCTCATTCCCTCCCTCCACATTTCCCACCTGTCTCCTATTCATCCTCAGCAGATTCCTTTTAGGCTTATTGCATACTTCAAATAGAGCTCCTGGCAAATTAAAATGATAGGATGTACAAGTTAAAGTTCTGTACTACCAGCAGTATTACTCAGGCAATCAACCTAGGTCTTGTTAAGCCTGGGCGTATGATGTATTTTCACATCACGGGAGTACTTGAGCAATTTCCCTAATGGATTAGCCATAAGCATGCCTTCTTCTGTACATTAAGGTTCCATTTCTTTTCTTAGCACTCCCTCCAGCTGAACATACGGCATATACTCTCTCTCTCCCTCAAACCCGCAATGTATAGAATATTTTCCTACTACAGATAACATTAGGGCATGGTTATATATTTGTTTAAAACATCAGCCACTGTCCAAAGAAAGATACCAGTAGACTACCTACCACTATCTTTTCTGAAATTTCTGCATTAAAAAAAATATCTTTTTACTGGAGATGTACATTTTCCTCTGTCCCATACAGGTTTAAAATGAAAGTGTAGCTTTTCACAATTTAGACAGCTATTAGGGTCTCTCGGTGACCACTAGGATTAAAGATAGTCCTCTGAAAGTCACCTTTAAAATTGAAATCTGTCAGCAAAGACACCCCAGATAGCTTGTCTTGCCATGCGTTCTCCTATGCCAGCTATGGGAGACAAGAAGAAAGAACAACTTTTTTCCATGATGATCTGAATCCATCTCTCACTAAATGGTAAAAGAAGTATGTCACTCTGACTTCAAAGGAAGCTGCATCACGAGTTCTGAGCAGCTTTGCCATTTTCCAGTAGAAGAAACATAATATTCAAAATCACATCTAAGTTGTTGAGGATCACATACAGAGAGGGAAATTGATGTGTAGAAGGAATGGCAGTATTTAATATACTGAAAAATGTTCCCCAAGAGTTGCAGCTTCATAAAATAATTTCTTTAAAAAAACACCCAAAACCAAACCCAACAAGTTACACTGGGGAAACATTGCTCTTGGGCTTTTTTGTAATACAAGTATTTTTAATTTACCGCAGTCTGTATTGTTAATGATTAGTAAATACTAGTAGAGATTCAGCTAAAGACAGGACCAGTGTAATCCCTGCAAAATGAACAATTATGTAAATATTTCTGATCAAAATCAATTTGTACTCTGGACTTGGTTCAAGTACTTCTTGCAGGACAGATGACCTATCAAAAGAAGCAAGTAATGTATTTGCTGGATAATAATGCATCCTGTCAAAACTCTTCTATAAGCTTGACTTTTTGGAAACTCAAGTAACCTGTTCCTATGTGTCTCAGTTATGTCTGGATAGCGACCCCTGCTTAGTAACATAAAAATTACTTCCATCTTCATTATTCTGCACTAAATGCTATGTGATTTGCTGATCCTAGAAAGCTATGGCTAAGGTTTTTTCAAAGCATGGTGAAAATTGTTTAAATGCGGAGATTTTTTTTGGTGACTTCTACCCCCCCCCTTATAGTTTAAAACAAAATTGCCACAAAGCTTTTTTGGTTTTTTTTTCCCCCTTCTTTTTTCTTTTGGCACATCAAAGCAACATCTATATCATGTTGTTTGGCCAAAATGTAAGAGGCCATTTTGGTCCAGAGATGTGTGGCGTCCCATCTGCACTGCAGAGCTGGGGTTAGTGTTACGAAAAATAATGTGAGAAAAACTGTTATTTCTTAATGGCTGCCTGTTTTGCCCCTGACACACAAACCAGCTGCATTAGGTACCTACAAGGTATGATTAAGCCTCTGACGATCCTGATATTTTGTTAGTGACATAAACATCATGGCCAGTGATTGATTTCCTGTTACAAGTCACTTTTTTGTGCTCTCCTCTATTCCTGAGCCATCCAGAGATGGTCAGTTAATGGATGTGGTTTCCACTTATATATGGCTGGAAGAAAATGTTTTTCTTGTTATAAAACCGAGACTGGAGTGTGCAGCTGCCCATGCACAACTGCTTTAATTATTCTCCCCAGAGTATTTATATTTTTTTCTGTTTTAGACATCAATGGAGCTGGAACCATGAGGCTGCAGACAAGTTAGTGCATCCTGCAGGGGAACAATCTTTGTAGTAGGGGCAGTTACTGATACCTCAGTTGTTGTAACAGCTGCCTTGGTTTCTTCCTTAATGAAATTACTTTAATAGTACAGTTAAACCTACAGACTAGATTTCCTTACAGTATGTGGACCCTGTAACAGTCACTAACCAGCTGCTTTCACACTTCTCCCCACTCTTTGTGGGCCTGCTTCATTTGTACTGAGTTACATGTTTATACTCCTGCTCCTAATCCCAGAATGCCTTATTCTTTGGCTGCCATTACATTTTAACTGGCTGATTTAGAGTTCCTCACATTTTTTTCTTTTGGTTTTAAGTTATCAGAAGGAAACAGCTAGGGCTGGAATACCTGGCAAGAACCAGTTCAGAGGCCATATGAATCATGGAATCATAGAATGGTTTGGGTTGAAAGGGACCTTGAAGATTATCTAGTTCCAACCCCTTGCCATGGGCAGGGACACCTTCCACTAGACCAGGTCACTCAAAGCCCCGTCCAGCCTGGCCTTGAACACTTTCAGGGATGGAGCCAACTCTCTCAGCCTGTTTTCATAGGGGAGGTGCTCCAGCCCTCTGATGATCTTCATGGCTCTTCTCAGGACTCTCTCTAAGAGGTCCATGTCCTTCCTATGTTGAGGGCTCCAGAGCAGGACGTAGGTGGGGTCTCACGAGAGCAGAGTAGAGGGGCAGAATCTCCTCCCTCGACCTGCTGGCCATGCTTCTTTCTTTTAGCTTTCCTGGCTGCAGTTGTGCATTGCCAGTTGATGTTGAGCTTCTCATCAACCAACACCCCCAAGTCCTTCTCCGCAGGGCTTCTCTCAATCCATTCTCTGCCCATCCTGTATTTGTGCTTGGGATCGCCAAATGATGTACATAGAGATTCTAACTTAATTGATGTTGTAGGTGTATACCTAAACGGATCTGCCTTGTTCTGAGCAACAGTGGTCCTTCAAAGAGGTTCCAGGAACATTTGTTTGGTACTTACAGTAGATATTACAATAAATATATACAGAAATCTGAGATAACTTTAGCATCGCTGCAGCTGAGACCTAATGAATGACAACTTCTGATGAATGTTCTCATTTTCAAATTCATTGGTATTGTAGCAATAGAATGTGAACCACAGTGCATGGCTTATATTTATCATTCTACCCATTCCTAGTATTAAAGGTTTTTGTCAGTGCCCACCTGTACCAAGTCTAGCCTCATTTTATTTCTACTATCTGCAATTTATCTTCCAGTTTAGCTCAGAGACTTGTTGCATGAGAAGAGCACAAAGCCGAAATGTGTAACACAAAGTCCAGAGCTTAGCTAATTATCCTGAGGCACCCTAACGCTGTGAGTTCTCATCCACCATCATCTCTTCTCTAATGAACAGGAGGGAATCCAGACCTTTTTGTCCCCGGGGTTCAAGCCCAGAAGCCTCACATTTAGCCACAGTTCTTCTCTGTTGCTTGTTTCTCTAAGTTGTTTCCTTCGTTCCTTCCTTCTTTGCAAGCAGGTCAGGCTTTCTCAGTGCACTGATACTTCCTGGCTTAGCCAAGTCTTTCCAGAGCAGCCCCACTGGTTTCAGCTACTGCCAGCATTCTGTTTCAGCTAGAGGCTTTTGTCTTTCTCACTGCTATTTAGTTACTGCTGGGGAAGATAAATAGGGCCGTAATTAAGCTCTTCTGAGCTGCTGCCATTTGGAGTATTTCTGATGAGGTGACTATTACAGATTTCTAGAGACTATTTGCTACTATAAGCTGTGCAAACAAATCCAAAGTTAGTTTGAAACAATTAAGCTCCACGTTAACAGGAGATGATTAACAAAACTAGTAGATCTGCAGTTGGTTACTTTTGACACAATTCAATTTTTTGAGTCCATTCCTGTTAGAAACAACTCATCAACATCTATGTTGGGTGGTAATTTAGAAATGCCTGCCAAATTCACAGATCTGGACACACACTGCAGATGTCATTCTTACAGGTGTTTGATTAGACCTGTAGTAAAACGGCTTTGGCTAACTGCTGTAAAACTTCAGTAACTCAAATCAAGCAATTAAAGTATTTTTTTGCTACAAAAAACTGGAGAGTTTTTTAAACTGTTTATCAGTTTGTTTCAGTATTTTAAAAATTAAACTATTGGATCTTTTGTGTTGCACTGTAAGGGAACGAAGGCTTTGAGAAATAGACGTGGGAAACTGAATTCTGTTTTACAGGAAAGTGCACATACCTCTTGTGCAAAATGCTTAGGTTTGTGGGTTTCTTTTTTTCAGTACTAGATTAATTTCATCAAAATGAAGACAGTTATATGTATAATATGTAATGCATAAATATTTATTTCAACACTACTCAAAACCACTGAAATGACTGCAAAATTTGTGTTTTAACTTCTTTCACTGATAATTATTGAAGACAGAAACACAGTAAAGATATTTTAAGTCATGTCCTTCTATAAACTAATTCTGTGCCTCTAATCAAGCAATATAATGCCATAATATCATATGCCAGACGGCATGAATTCAGATTCCTGAGTGGTTTCCATGGCAGCATTTTAGAATAAGTTTTCCAGGCAGTTGCAGATTTCATAGAAGGACAAATGGGTATTAGGTATTGAACTGGAACACTGGAAGTGATGAAAGTGCCGTTTAACCAAATATAATCCATTAATTATGTGATTTTAAAAAAGCTGCAGGTGATTTTGACACTGTCCTGCACAACATCCATGTCTATAAACTGGAGAGACATGGATGCGGCTTTGAGTAACCTGGTCTAGTGGAGGGTGTCCGTGCCCACGGCAGGGGGATTGGAACTAGATGATCTTTAAGGTCCCTTCCAACTCTAACCGTTCTGTGATTCATGAGAAGTGCGATCCCAGCTGTGTGTAGGAAAAGAAAGGCTCTGTCACAGTGGGATTTTTGGGTTTCAGCTGAGATATCCCTAAAACCTATATTTTCACTGAAGAGGGCATAAAAATCAGAGTTACTCTGATGTTGCATGCAACTGTCACAGGTCATTAATGCGATCTGTGACACTCCCCAGGATAATACTCTGGTATGGATGTTTTCCCTTTGCTTCAAAAGGTTACATTCAGAGCCTTATGATCTTTACCCGCACTTTTCCTGGCTAAGTTTACAGTCCTAGCTGCAGTAGCTGAAATCACACCATGAAAAGGAAAGTCAAAGAAATAGCAACTGTTAGTGCTACTGTCCTGATGCATAGTTTGTTAGCAGCAACTTTGACTAGTGAGGGACACCTGGAAGGTGACAAAGCACAGGCCCAGCGATGAGCTTGTTTATGTTTCTTCCCTCCCAGCAAAGCCAGGTCTGAGGACAGAGTTGCACTGCTCTTACATTCTTACTTTAAAAATATTAATTACATCAGATTTTATCCCCCCAAGGCCTTTTCACCTCTTACATGCAAGACCAAATCTAAGAGGACACATGGATGTCAAAATGGTGAAGAATCAAAATAAGGCCTAATACCCTCAGAAAGCACAGACAGGGCAGAAGACTAGCCTGTTCCTGCTGCCTTTCTAGAATACGAGAACTAAATTGTGTGCCAAATCTCTATTCTGTCACATCATGTTGCATCTCATCCCTGACAATCAGTTCTAACTATATAAAATTCCTGAACTAAGTTCCATGGCTATTTCTCGCCTTGATATTTAATTAGGATTTGCAAACAGTTTTGACAGACTGGTTTATACACAGTAAGCTGAAGAATGATTTGACCGTTAGGGTCTGAAAATTGCTATAGGTTTGGCTTTCTCAGCCAGCGACAGCAGCCATCACCAGTTTTGCTGAAGGAAAGCCCAGGGAGTATCGTCAAATTTAGAAGCAAGGAGAGAAAGTTCTCCCTTCAATGCAGAATGCTGAATTCATGCTTTCTGAGCATCAACTGATCTGGATGTGGGCACATGTGGGCACATTCTCATTATATATGAGAATATAATACCAGCGTAAATAAACAGAAATGGAAGAACAAGAGGGTCACTTCTCAAAACTTTGTCATTTGTTACATTTTTCCTTGTGAGCATGTTCTGTACTACCCAAACAAATAATTATGTCTTGAAACCACATTCTGCTCAAGTAAAGAAATTAACAGTGTCTGCCTTGATCCCGTGCAGGTTCTCCCTAATCTTCCAAGGTTCTAGAACTGAACAGAGATACGTACATGATTGTGTCTTATATTTATAATGATATTGAAAAGGATAAGCTGGATCTTTAGCCAGTGGCAGGTGGAGTATCTCCAATTCAGTGGGCAGTTACAATGGCTTAAAAAAATTGATCATCTGATCACACACAAACTGCAGTCTCTTAACTGACTCTTTTACCTTGGGAACCAGCTAATGGTGTATTGTTGTTCCTCTGTGAAATTAAGTGAGACACTGAAGGCTAAAGCCCTTCGGAAAATGGATTTTAAGTTTTCCTTTCTCAGTAACTCTGCACTTCACTCTGGTTTGAAATAAATTGATATTGGAAGCTGGAATGACTTTTTTTTTGGTTATTATTGTAGAAAAGGTTGGGTTGAACATTGTGGATCAATTGCATGAGAGGGAACAATGACACAAAATGGTTTATGATGGAAAGAACAGTGTGATATGAAAAAATACATAGCAACTCTCTGTTTGTACAGCTATTAAAATGTTATAGGGATCAAGAAAGACTAATGGAAAACATTTAACATGGGAGGAAGCAACCAGGGTAGGTTAATATACTTAATGAAGCTGCTGTAGAAAACAATGACAGACACAGAATCAGAGCTGGATGGGAAAACTTACCTCTAGTTGATGGTCAGCTGCAACAAAGGGAAAGGCCAACAATTTGCTAGATGAGTTCAGCAGAGGATGTGTAACAGAACAGAAAGCGTTTAACCAAAGCATCTGCTGGATCTCACCACCCAAACAGAATAATGCCACTCACTGGGATCTGTATGATTCAGATAACGGGGGCTACTTTTTATTAAGGTTGTCAGTGAATACTTGATATGCAATGTGTCACCTGTTATCCAGCTAGGCTTAATATCTAAGAATAGTTTAATTGCTTACATATATCCATATAGAGATATCCTTTATATTTGTTCTCTCTGAAACACAGGCTGTGGTCCTGTGAAGGGCTTGCTCTTTATGTGACCTTTTTCCCCATACCATACATTTGTCCTGCTGACTTAAACTGAAAACCCAAGAATTGTCCACCTCCTTGTTTGTGCAGCTCAGAATAAGGCTTTGATCCTGATCAGGGGCTCTGTACTCAATAATTATTAGTATGATGACACCATAATAAAACAATAAAATATTAACATTCTTCATTTTTTTTTTCAGACATGCATGGAACATTTGTCATTCTGATGCCCCTCAGCCTCATATTGATGATTTTTGGAGGAATGACTGGATTCATCAGTATTCTTGCCAGGGCCTACTTACTGCTTCTAATGACGGGACTGCTTTTTCTTTTTGGAGGTACTGTATCAAACTCCCGGCCTAACCATTTTAAATAATAAGAGATTATATCTGGGAAACACCACTTTGTCTTCCAGGGGAAAAAAGCTACACAAGAGTTTGCTTTCAGAATAATGCTGGTATTCGTTCACTTGGTGTCTCCTCAGCTCCTGATGGCATTCTGGAATAGAAAGCTGCCACTTAGGGTCAGGAAAGGCAAATAATCACACACCACCATTGTGTGATTACTCGCTTGTGGAGCGAGTCACACTTCGAACACAATGCATTTGCTGTGCCCATTAACACAAAAGATTTAATACCTTCTCAGCACAGTGCCCCAATTCTTTACAGACAGGATAATGGAGTAATGGGAGAAGTGACTTTGGAATTAGTAAAGCATGGGGTTCGATAGCCTTGCACAGACCTTGCAACTTATTAAGAAAACAGATTTTTTTCACAGGCGTTTGCATTGAGTTCCTGAAAAGGGTCTTGCTATGCATTCCTGGGTTAACTAGCACTGCTAGTTTTGAACTAGAGTGGTATCCCCAAACTGTGGGTCACAAAAGAAAACACCAAAGAGTTACAGTAGTTGGAGTGTAACATTTCAATTTGAAGCAAGAAAAAATCTTTTACGTTTTGTTTTCTATTACTTTTGATATAACCAAAACTTGTGTTTTAGAAAGTGATTTATGAATTAAAACTAAAAACTTTTTATCAAAGTAGGAAAACTGGGTTTAAATCCATCTCCATTTTTTTCTCCAAATAGATTTTCAGTACTGTTTCACAATGTAACTTGAAACAGAAATTTTCCCTAACAGAAAAGGGGATCCTCAATATTGGCCCTCATCACCTGATGAGTCCTATTTCTAAGAAGAGAATGCTAAGAGATTGCTGGAAGCAAATGCTGCTGTCTCAAAGTCTTGACTGACCTTTTTAGTCTGAAATGCTCTTATGAAGACCAACCATCCCCCATTATGCTTTTCTTCTTCAAAAAAAAAAGTAAGTTCTATTTCCTTAGAACATCAGAAAGCTGTATTCACTAAAAAGGCTTAGGCTATTTGAAAACTACTCCAAATAGTAAGTGAAAGATGAAAAGCTGTGAAGTACAAAGCATGATTATCCCACTGAGGAGTGGTGTGTCTTTCTAAGACACTTGAGGTTGCGAAGAGGGAAAGGAAACACAAAGACAGTATTAGGAGACGGGTGCTTGAATATGTTCTGAAGGTGCAACCAGTGCTGTTCCCCAGGACAGCGTGAACAGACTGCAGGGTGGTCTTTGGTGTGAGACCAGATCCTCCTCCCCCTTGGGCAGTATTGTTCAGCTGTTTCAGCCGCACTGAGGCTTGATGCACGGAATGGGCATGCACAGTTTTGTAGGATATTCCGGTTCACCAAGTTTGGTATTGATAGTTCTGTCAGCAGAAAGAAATATTTTGTGATGCAATTCCAGAAACCTGAGGTTTTTTGGAAAATACCAGAACTTGTATGTTCCACATCCCAGGACATCCTACGTGCTTCCCCATTTTTTTAATGTGGCCACATTTAAGAGGGATCACAGAACTCAGCATACCTTATTGAAAATGTCAAAAAACCAGTCATTTTCATGTCTGCTGACAAAAGGTATAGATAAGTGATTTTTTTCCCCCTTGCAGAGGACTAGAATAAGGTACAGGTATCATAGCATGGTTAAAATCAGGACTATGAGTATGAATTTTGACTGTTTGATAATCCATTACACTTCTGTCTTGCTTTGCCTTTACTCAAACTTGTCTTTCTGGCAAAAATGCAGACTCATCTAGACTTACACTGTGATTTAACAGAAAGCCAGACCAAAATTTTTCTCCCTCAGAATCAGATAAGAGACTTTCTTGTCCTACAAGTGTTCCAGTGTCTACTTTCCCTGGGCTCCAGTCCTTTAATCCAGGGCCTTTCTATTGCATCTTTCCTGCCACTGATCCAGTAAAGTCATAAATTAGTATGTGTCCTTTGAGTAACACAGATGTCAGGCCCAGGATGTAGCAGGTACTTGTGCTAGATGTGCCAGTTTGCTAACTTCTGTATGGTCCTTTCATTCTGAAAACATCTGGCTTCTTGTTTGAGTGCCTTTATTAACTTATTTTTAGTCTGCTCCAGGATGTCTTTGGCTCAACTATTTGGAAGTGAGGAATAGTCATGACTCCACAACACTTAGTGGGAGGTCTCCGTCTCCCTGAGCTTCCTTGCTTAGAGATAGACAACTGTACATGGTGCACGGCCGTGAGAAATCAGGATGCATTATAATACAGTGTTGAAAAGAGAAATGGATATACATTAGATATCTGTAAAAGACATGACTAGATTTTTATTGTGAGGGGCTTGCTGTTACACATTTTGATTCAGTATTTAACAGTGAGAATACATTAAACTCAATGGACAGAAATAACCCTCCCTTTACTTCCCTCTCACCCTTCCCCAAAAAACAGCCTCAAGTAGGCTAACTGGCAAACTGGCCTGGGTGGATAGGAAGGAGTGGCAAAAAAGCCCTAAGTGATATCAAATTAATTATTTTTAATTTCTGCAGTGGATGCTAACTAGCTGAATATGTTTTTCTCTCCCAGCTCTTATTACACTTACTGGGATCAGTGTCTATATTGCATATTCAGCTGCTGCCTTCGAAGAAGCTGTCTGCCTCCTGAGGAGTAAGGACCTCCTGGTAGAAATCGACATCAGGTTTGGCTGGTCGCTGGCATTAGTCTGGATCTCCTTTGTTGCAGAAGTGCTCACCGGGTCTGTGTTTCTCCTGGCAGCAAGAGTTGTGGGTCTGAAACGGCGACGTGAACAGGCATTATGAACAACAGGTATCATTGCAACAACAGAACCCTGCAGAATCTAGAAATGTGGATTGCTTGGTCCATCTGGTCACGAGGGGTAATAAACATGGCAAGGCTGTGACTGAGTATCTTGTCAGCTGCCATAAACCCTGTTCCTCACAGTTAGCTATAAAACACAAAGATTCTGATAAATCAGTAAAACATTTCAAGTGTTGTCAATAAGGAAACCCTTGTGACTTTAGAAGAAAGTACATTGCAGTGTTAGTGTTTCCAAAACTGAAGCTGGCAGCTCGTAAGACATCTCCATTCATTGCTTAGAACAATGCAGATTTCTTGCTTTCTTTTCTCCTTTCTGCTGTCCCAGCAAAGTGCCTCAGAATACTTTGCAGGCCAGGCTGCATGGTCTGCTTAGCTTTTGGTTTCTCCTCCGAGACTCCTAATAAGTATGCGTAGGATTCCAGTCCTGTTGGCAGCCTCTACCAGCAGAGCTGCTCTGAGATGGCTAGTTTGTGGTAGGTAGTGCTTCCTTCCTGCTGCCTCTGCAGGCATACAGGGATATATGATGTCTGTACACCTGAACCCAGGGAGAGAGTGTGAGGCTTAAATATCCATAATTAATATTGCATTCTTAATGGTTTTGTTGCATGAAGTAAACTCAAAAGTAAAGATCCAGAATAGGAAGAACTTAAAAATACTTGGTGGAGAACTCCAGTGATAATCCCCCAGCACTAGGGCATGGCTAGGACATCTAGTGAGGTGAAGATTAATCTTTACTCTGGTGTACACCTTCTGTATTTATAGGATCTTTCTTTTCCCTCATGTCTCCCCAAAGAGGCCTTCCTCTCTCCTATACCACAATCACACTTTTTCTTTGTGACAGCACACAAAAATGGGTTAATTTGAGGAACCACAGAACCCTAGAAGCCTAATCCATGCCATCTATGTGTAATCTTTAAGGAGAGACACAACGTTCTGTTACCTTTCCTAAAATCATTACTTAAGGGGTGAAAACAAAGAAATGAGTAATTTTATAAAAATAAGCTTTGGTGCTGTGATAAAATGAGAGGATATAAGGCCTAGATACAGCGAATGACTTGATAATAGTTATCCAGCAGATGGTAGTGACTGATGGTGAAGTTCTCAAGTGCAATGGTGAGTGTACTGCAAGAGAAACATACAGCTGCTTTTCCAGATGTTTTAACTATCTACTGTAGTCAGCCCCAATCTATCAGATGCTCAGGCTACATACTTATCTCTTTCAGCTTATTACTACCTGCTTTTTCAATTCTGTAATGCAGAAGATGTATCTGATGCATTTCCCAGATTTTACTTAGCAATTTTGATGATGCTTCCTTTTCATGAAATCCGTAACATGCTTTCTGCTAGCATACGTTTAACTTGTGCTGAAAACTGCCAAGTAAAACTGAACACACAGGATACCTGAATTTCATATTAGGTGCCAAGCAATCCAGTTTTTCTTTATTAATTTTTCGTCTGGGTAATGGCATTTAAGAGAAAATTTACTTCAGTGTCCACTGAAGTTAATGAAGAAATTTCCCCCTGACTGCTGTGGCTTGGAATAGACTTGAATGGGTTAACAGCTCCACTACATTTCTGTTAGGTCATGTATTTCTGGAGGACTTCAGCATATTACAGTTCAAGAGTGTGACTCGAGCTGTGTCAGCAAGGCATACTGTCATTGGGCAAGTCCCTTGTACTTCCTCCAGTAGTGCAAAGAGCATTGTTTACCTACTACCTCTGTTAAATATCAAAACAATTTTATCATTATGTCTTGTGTTAAAGATTGCACATTTACTCTTATGGAGCTCAGCTCAGATCTTAGTCCCACAGTACAAACTACTTTACTAAAAATAGTGGCAGGGAGCTTCCCAGAGTTTAAGGTCTTTGGAGATATAAGGAAACATTATTACTACCATGCTGTAAATGGAGAACTGAGGCAGAACAACTGCCCAAGGTCACGTGAAACCAGAGGTTCTGAATCCCAGTGTAAGACCTTAGTTGGCAGACCTTCCTTGTTATCAGAATGAAATAAGGCTAGAAATCCTGAATAGACGGAGCAGTAGAAATTCTGTAAATAGCCAGTATAATTTTCTAATTCTCACTTGCTCCCACAAGTGGTTTTCACATATTTTCCATGTTGCCTTATGTTGGGACTGTGTAATTGAGTCATTTTACAAGTTAAAGCTCTATAAGAAGAGTAAGAAAAAAGTCCTTTGAAGCCAAAATTCCATGTGCTTAAGTGAGTTATGTAAAATGTACTATTTTTATGTTTTGGTGTGGGTGAAGCTATTTATATTACAGTTTGTATGATGTTACTCAGGCATTACTGTAAGCTGTAATAGTAAAATATCATCTGAGTTATTTTTTGAGTATTTATTACAGATGTTATTTTACAGTGGTTTTAAATGTTGTAAAATTAAATAAATTGATGTCTCAGAGCTGGGAATTATTTACAAAGACATAGAAGACTAAGATACATATTTTTTTAACTTTTTCTGCAGATCTATTCTACAGTTTATATGATGCTTTTGAAGTGCCTGTGTCACATGTGGTAGGTATTTATAAGATACTTATGCAGCTATAATAGAAAATACTCAAGTGATCAAATCTAATTAGAAAGCCAATGAATCTGTTATTGAATTAGAGTAATTCTCATTTCCATGGCTTTCCTAAATTTCTCATTCTGGCTTCCTGCAATATCTGGCACAATGGTAATAAAGAGTATCTTCTGCTCCTGAATATTTGTATAACCCTTGAATTTCTCTGAAATTCCTTCTGAATACAAAGAAAAAAATGGTTTGGAATAGACAAATAATCCTTGAACATTTTTAAGAGTTATGCTAGAAAGAGAAAACATCTTGGAAGGGACTTTATGCAATTTGATACAAGGGATCTTACCAGCTTCTTCCTCTTACTGAAACTAATGTTTATTAAATGCCCAGTTCTTTTCTGTATTTTCCCCAAAATGCACTACTGAGATGAGGACACTGACTGTTCCCATTACTTTGTGGTGAATTGCAAACTCATAGGTAATTTGCCACATTTAAAGTGAAGAAAAACAGATGTACCGAGCAGAGCAGTACTGTTTGAGACAGTAGAGTCCGCAGAGCTACTGGCTAATACTAGTCACTAATTAAAAGGCTTCCTCAAGGGATGGCAGAGAAGGATAGGGGAGGTCAAAGGAATCCTTGAAAGTGAAAAAACTGTAGATATACAAGACATTAAGAGAAGATGCTGGTGAATATACTGTGGACATGAAACCACAAGGATTCAATCTGAGTCTGTGCTGTTCCTGAGCGGGCTCCTGCAAAGCAGCTTGGATGTCTCTGTGTACCAGCCTCTGATGACCAAGGGGACATTATTGGTTCAGCCACAGCTTCAATTAAAGCAGCTCTGTGCATTTGTTGATCACTGGTCCAAAGCCAATAGACCTGACCTAGTCTGTGCAGACACACATGATTCTTAATTTCCTCTTTCCAAATTTATAAGGATTGCAGGTTCGACACCAACTTGCCTCGTTGGTCAGCAGGGGGAGAGAGCTGGAATCTGCCCAGAACCTCTCCACTAAGGTGACCACAGCAAGGCATGGAGAGCCTGCCCACTGAAGGTATTAGAGAACACGGGAACTGGCCCACGAGATAAATCCAAAAGACTTAGATTTTCCCAAGCTTGATTGACACCAAGTAATCTTGGCCTCCAGTTTTATCACTTGTTTTGCATTGTTTTGCAAATAAAATCCAATGGTCTCAAACTATGTAAAACTGAAAAATGAAATCTGAAGAAGTCAGAGCCTACTTCATAAATACGAATATCCTTTTCTCCAGTTCATTTTGTAAGTTCCTTGCAGTGAAGCAGTTCATAATTAGCCAAGACATATCAGTAAAAACCACATATCCCTTGGCCTCCTGACTCATTTTCATATTAACAGACTAAATTGCCTCAGCTCAGGAGCAAAAAGGTTAGAATGAATGTCTCTGTACTAGAGAATCAAACTGTCCCCAGAATTGGTATAACCATGCTCAAGAGAGCTTCCCCTGTGCCTCAGTACTCCTGGTTTGTTTGCTAAATGGGCACAATTGTTAGCCCATCAATTGCAAGCTCACAGGAATTTGGTCAGATGTTCTTGGAGGTCAGACAAAACTATGTTGAAGGCCAGGTTCAACCCACAGAGTTACAGCCATCCCTAGTTTAGGTTACAAGTCTTTAACTACTGGACTGCAGTTAGGTTACAAAAAATTAGATCTTTTTACTTTTACTAAAACATTGTAGTGCTGTTGTACTGTAATAGCTTTCTCCAACATTTCACACATCAGCTTTAACCCTAAGTAGACCCTGAAACTTTTCCCTCCCTTTTTGCCAGTCCTTTCAGCAGCCATATCACTGTCACATCCAGTCTTTGGATGCATATTAGCAGTGTCAGTATATACTGCTGGGTCACATCCCACTTTGACGTTTGTATTGCTAGTAATCATAGTTTGGATGCTCTGACTTGAGAGAACTTTACTCTTTTATAACGTTTTGCACAGAAACAGTGGTCTCTGCTGACATCTCATGGCTACACTAAGCAGTTGACAGTATTTGGAAATAACACATTCATTTCCATACGTACTATTTTTTTGTACGGTTTGAAGAGCTGAGGAGACTGTCATGCTCGCTAGGCCCTAGCTCCTGTATTTTATAGCCCAGAGAATCTCATCGAGAAACTGCGGAATCCAAGTGAGTAACATCTCTCAGCTACTGCCCGTCAAAATGTCAGGTGATTGGAAATGTACTCTTAACCTTTCCTGTTCTTTAAAAAAAATTAATCACAAAACATTCCTAAAGGTTTTTACTGCTTCTGTTCTTAGGAGATAGATGCTATAGCCATTAACGGTTATGTTTTGATTAGATCAACCAGTATTGTTTTTTGTTTACATTTGTGGCATAAATGTTGAAACTATTAAGCTGAAACTAATCAAATTGAATAACTGAGGGTGCAAATAATAAGACAAAAATAAAT